CAGAATCTGAAATATCTAAGTTGTTGACATACCTGGTGAGGGCATTGCCAGTACATAGTTGGGCAGCTCCTCGGGCTCACTCTCTCCTCCATCATTAATGGCAATCACTCTTACCCAGTACATGTCCATGGATTTCAGGCCTTTCACACTGAAGGAAGTCATAATGATGGGGGTGCTATTACAGCGGGACCATTCGATGCAATCTGCTCGCCGAATCTCAACAAAATACCCTCTTGCTTCATCCTGTATGCCTGGTTTGTCTTCTGGTTTTGTCCAAGTTAGGACCAAGTGGTTGTAGGAGGTTTCTGTCACCTTAAGGCCTGTAACTTTACCAGGAGGCTCTGGTGTAGTTCAAACATCAGATATTTAAGTTTTGACTAAGCGATACTTGTTAATACATTTTTTTAGTCTTTTGTTTCATGTAGAACAGTTGCAACACTTACTCTTAGGATCTCGTGCAAAAACAAAATCTGAAGGGCTGCTAAATTCGCCTGCTCCAGAGAGATTTATGGCAGTAACTCTGAATTCATATTCCATACCCGCAACAACATCCTTCACTGCATATTTCTTTTCTACAAAAGATTTTACATGGAGAAAGACAGAAAGAGAGGAAGGCAGAAAAACAACAGCAAAAAGAGTCCTGTTATGCTCTAATGTCATCAGGTCCATCAGATTAAACTGAGGTAAGTTAAAAAATACTCACCTTTTATGAGCTCATCATTGGCATTGACAACAGACCAGAGATTACTTCCCTTCTTTCGTTTCTCCAAAATATAGCCCAAGATACGTGAACCTCCCGTGTTACTTGGAGGAGCCCATGAAAGATTTATACAGTCATCAAAAGCGCTGACCACTTTTGGAGGTGCTGGAGGGCCAGGGAAGGCTGAAAAATGCAGAAATGAAATAGATTGTGCTGGTAATGGTTACAATCAGAAAAAAATAGCTTTTCTTGTTACTTGAGACCAAAATGAAGAAGTAGCCTTGAATCAGAGCACTGTAATTTATGTAGATAAAACAATAAGTGCACATATAAACGTTAATGTTTTAGCTGTGTATGTTCATTTATCAACGTGTACTATGCTGAAATGATTAACATCTAAACTGATAATTGATAAGTTAATTTAGTTTACAACACCAGGCTTCACACCTCCTCCAATGCTAAAAATGTCTCTTATTTTCACAAGGCAGTATATGTATGTCATATATGTATATCATCCTATCTAGGTTTCTCTCTCGGTGGTAAACTGTCCCAAAAATTCCTGGATGTGGACTGTAATCCAAATGGATCCCAAAGTTAAGTTGTGCCAAGCCCCATCACTGGTAAAAATTTCATGGAAACCTCATAACTTTTTCAGTAATGCCACTAACAAACAGACACACAAACAGGCAATCTGAGCCAACTACATATCCTCCTAGACATAAGTAATGGTTAATAATGAAAAGAGTAGTTGTTTACTGCGCATCACTTGATTCATTAAGAAAGGAGAATATGGCCAGTAAAGCACAGTAGGGGGCAGTAACGCCGCTTTCCTACCAGTTGATGCATTTTGAACCATGTTTTGGACATGCCACAGATAGGCAGAGCAGATCTAAATAATGACGTTTGCTGCTTAGATTAGCTGCATCAGTTTCAGGGTCCTGTTAGCTCGTTGTTACACTGTAGGGGAAGCGTCATTACTGTTATCAGTGGTAACACCTGCGTTTTCCAGGCTGCTCTGACGGAAAACAAGCCTCCATTCCAGGCACACAGGGACAGAAATTCACTGGTAAAATTTGTTGTGGCTGGTTATATGTACCCGTGCCTGTATTTTCTATAATTAACTATAAAATCATTTGCATTGATACAAGCTACGTATGCCACTAAATTATTCCACTAGTATAAAAACACTTTTGAGTCTTTTAGGACCGGAAACTGATAAAATAGATGCTTGTTTAGCTATCTGTTTTAAGCTAAAGCCTAAGCTATAACTTCATGTGTCATTAAAATTCCTCTATGAAATACAGAAAACAGGCGAGCTTAAGTCCATAGGTGGGAGTAAAGAAGTACAAATACTTTGTTACTGTACTAGGTACAATTTTCAGGTATCTGTACTTTACTTGAGTAGGGTTTTTTTTTTTTTTGTTACTTTAACTCCCTACATTTTTTAAGTGTCTGTACTTGTACTCCTTACACTTTCAAAACAGGCTCGTTACTTTTGTTTTAAAGCATTTGGGTCAGTTGTTATTTCGAAAAAACATTAAACCGATTTCAGAGTAAAAACAGAAACAAGTTACAGAAACACATCAATGGCAGTTTGTTTATTAATCACCAGAGGATGTGGCGTAAAGAGATATGACGTGTGCCAAAGTCAGGATATTTTTCTTTCTTTTTTGTTTGTGAAAACATCGGAACTACTGCAGGTGTCCGTAAGTTAAGCATCTAACTCGCCCTACAGAAGATCAGCGAGCATAGAGGGAGTGACGCAGGTAAATTCAAATGCAGCGTTTCTGTAAGATAAGGAAACACACAAACTGTTTGTGTGCAGTTTAGCAACAAAGTGTGTTGCTAGCTAAAGGTCCGGCTGCTGTATTTCACAGGGAGAGAAAAGAAAGAGAGCTAACTTCACTCAGAGATGGAGGAACATAAGAAAGACAGGACAGGAGAGAAAGAAGAGAGGTTAGAATAAAGGTAAGAACTGCTCAGTGCTATTGTAAAAACTGGAAATGTAAAGCTTACATTTAAGTCATGTTTTTATATCAGATATTTGGGTCAGTACATGGGATTTTTTTTAATATTGTGAAATGCTGCAAATCAAATTGAGACAGACTAAGTGTTATTTTAAAGGTTGTATGAAAATGCTTTGCAGTGTAGTGGATTTAAAGTAAGGAAAAGTGTGTGAATGGTGCACAATGGCTGTGGTTTCATGGTCGGTTTTATGCTGGTTTCATGGCCAGAGTAAGGTTAGATCAGTGGTTCTTAACCTGGGTTCGATCGAACCCTAGGGGTTCGGTGAGTCGGTCTCAGGGGTTCGGCAGAGCCTCCACCGTGACATGCACGGCTCATTTTGTGCACCAATATCCCATATCTATGTCTTGAATTTGAAAAAAATCATATTTTATTTTTCACTAAAGAGAGGTTCAGTGAATGCGCATATGAAACTGGTGGGGTTCGGTACCTCCAACAAGGTTAAGAACCACTGGGTTATATCAAGTATAGCAGAGAATTGTAGATGAGTTTTAGCAGATGATGCTTAGATTCATTAACTAAATTCCACCTTCATACCAACTTTGTAGCGTCTAGAAAAAAGAGAGCATAAACAGTGTACTGTCAGTGTAGAGCAGTGGTAGGGAACTCCATGCCACAAGAGCCGGTGTCCTGCAGGTTTTAGAACTCACACTGGGTCAACACGCCTGAATCAAACGATTATTTCTTTACCAGGCCTCTGGAGAACTTCAAGACATGTTGAGGAGGTAATTTAGCCATTTAAATCAGCTGTGTTGGATCAAGGACACATCTAAAACCTGTAGGACACCGGCTCTCGAGGCTCTCGTGGAAATCAGCCAGGACAACTCACAAAACATCTGCTGGCATCTGAATTTAGTTGTATAACTCCACACAGAGCAGCAAGTCAGCTGATCACAACCTGCATATTAAGAAAATCTACTGGAACTCTCAATAGAAATTATTGTGAGTTATGATTCTTTTCTCCACAATGAGCCATTACAGCCAATTTTAGGGGTCCCCCACCTGTGGAATCCCTCTGTGTACAGTGGGAAGTGTACACATTTAACTGTTTAGAGGCAAAGTCACCGTCTACAATGTAGGCAATGTTTTTTTTATTTTTTAAATTCAGATTCAAGCTGAGTATAATTAGAATTTAAAAAGGACTAAAGTTTGTATTCCCATCTAGTGATATTATTTTATCGTAATGTTAATATAGCACAATGTTCAGCTTTAGCTATACACAAAAATTGAAACATCCTCCAAAGAGCTACTTTTTATTTTCTTACTATTTGTATTAGCTACAATTGCAAGCTAATTAAACACAAGCCACTGGAGAAAACACAGAGTGGTGTTCAGATTTTTGGGTTCAACCTTGAGAAATAATTAACTACCTCATAAATTAGCAGGTTTTTAAAAGGGGAAATTATTTTAAAAGATATGAATTTGAGTTTGAATCTGAAAAGGACTGAAAAGGCTGGTCATGTGGCTACACTGCCAGGATCATGTTTTATAAATTAAAAAAAAAAATGCTTAGTTTTAACAGCTGGTGAGAATAACTGGATTCAGGTGAGGACCATTTCAGGCTTGTCAAAAATGACAAGTCTAGCTGTTATTTCTTCAAAGCTGTACAGACAGATGGTCCAGAGGGACACTTTGAAGTATTTTTCAAGCAGATCTGCAAACAGTAAGTACTTTCTTTGCATTATGCTGTGCAGTGGTTTGTGTGTGTTATGTTTTAGCTGTGAGCTATAAGAGAGAGAATGCTTGTTTTAACCGTTTTATAGTTACCCACTGTGTAGTCTACCCACTTTGTAGCCTATGTGCCATCATCATGTGCCATCATCACATATACACTGTATATATCTTACAAGTAAACTGATTGGGAGATCACATTTGGCTTTTAACTGTATATCAGCAACCTGAAGTTTTGACTGGCAGATTTTTAAACTTTTTTGAAAACTGGTGACAGTGAGCAGTCACAAGGTACAAGGTCGTCTATTTGGCATTTCATAATGAAAAGCTTCCTTTTCTGTTGAAGTCAAATGAATCCCACAATAAAAATCAATATATGAAGTTTGCATTCTGTTATTTCTGTGTGATTTAGCTTGGTGAGTAGTCAGCTTTGCTTACCAAGTGTGCCAGCTTGCATTTCCTCAGTTTCCATAACTTCGCTTGTGCCTTCTGCAGTCACTGCTCGGATGCGGTAACAGTATTTCCGCCCTCGCTCTACGCCTGTGTCTCGGTAACTGGACACACCTGGTATTTCCCCTATTTTCTTCCAGGTGTTTCGCCCCACTTGCTGACGCTCCATTATGTAGTTAATCACTGGGGAGCCACCATCATCCTTTGGAGGGCGCCATCTAAATTCAATACATGTAGCTGAGCTCTCTGTTACCTCTGCAGGACCCAGAGGTGGGGTTGGTTTGTCTGAAACAGCAATAAAGTTTTATAGAAAGTATGGAAATACATTTACAATGTCCATAATAGAGACAGTATTTACATAGAACTAATAATCACAGGACTTTGAAACCTATATTTATCTGTTCAACTTCTGCATTGTCCATAATTCGCTCACCAAGCACAATAAGCTGTGAGAGTGCCTCAGTGAAGCCGTGTTCATTTTTTAGCTTGATCTTGATCTCTCCCATGTCCTTCCTCTGGCATCTGCTCAGAAGCAACCGGCTGTGGCTTGCAGATTTTTCTATCCTTGTATTGTTGTCATCTTGGAGCTCTTCTCCTTCTCTGAACCACTGAATCTTTATGGGTTTGTGTCCAAGAAAATGCAATTTGAAGATGGCATTGTGCCCCACTTTAACTGTCTTTGGCTCAGTAAAAGCACTGAGGTCTTCAAGGTCAAACCTGGGAGGATCTAAAGAAGGTTTTAGGAATTGGAGAAGTATTATGTTATCCGTGATCTGCTTCAACATTTCTTTATTAGTATGGTTGTACATTTTCCATTTACAGTTTGCAAAATGTCATGCTTTAATGAGCAGTTCTCAAACCTTTGACATTTATTATTGCCTCTGTTTTACGGCCATCTGCCTCAAAACGGTATTTTCCAGAGTGCTCTTCCGTGCACTTGCTTATGACCAATTTATGAATTGGCCCATCTTTAGTTATGGAGAAACTTTCATCTTGGAATATCTGATAGGAAAAAGTGCAAAGAGTTAAAAGTAAAGAAATGAAGCAAAACCTGTTAAAAAATTAGGTTTTCAAAGGGGGCTTGTCCAGCTGTGTGTGTCTCCCACATGGGCCCAAAGTACTTGAACACTGGCAAAAGATTTGAAGTAAATTAAAGATGAACAGCTGTTCAGTGAAACCGGTGATGATTTTCAGACATCAGTAATGACACTCTTTATTTTTTAAATGTCAGTTTTGAGCTTTTAAAAAATTAAAAATACATCAATAAGGAATCAAACGTTAGCGAGTGACAGAGTTCTACATTTACATACAGTTAGGTCCATGAGAATTTGGACACTGACAGTGTTTGTAATTTTGCCTCTGTACACCACCAAAGTAGATTTTAAATCAAGATGTCATTTAAGTAGAGACTTCCACCATTAATTTAAGAGGTTCAGAAAAATGTTGCATTGTGTTTTGGAATTACTGTTTTTATATATAGTCAGCTTATTTCAGATACTCAAAATTAACAACCACAGGTAAAAATATAAGAATAGTTGGATAAATATCCCATCCTATCCTGAAGTTTAGAGGGGTATCACCAAAAGCTGTGTTTCCCACCTAAACTCTTTTAGATGGTTTCAGTCTTATCTGGTGTTCTTGTTCTTCAGCGTAACCAGTGGTTTGCACCTTGTTGCACCTTGTTGCACCTGTCAAATGCAACTTTAACACTTGAAATTAACTCCAGATCTTTTATATGCTTATTTTGTCACAGAAAATGTAGGAACAAGCCCCATCTGGCTATGAAACCGCTTGTTGGTGAATTGTCCAAATATCTTTGATGCTCTATAAAGGCTATAGGCAAAGCTACTGCAAAGCTAAAAGTTTGCACTTCAATGCACAGCATTTTGTTAGTCAGTTTGTTGCAAGCTTGCAACAAACTGACTAACAAAATGCTGAACAGACTGACTGATAAACAGGCAGATGGAAACTCTCACACTATGAGGAGGTACGCAACAAAGAGCAGAGTGAGACAAAACTGACTTCATTCAGGAGATACGAAGACAGAGAAAATACTAGAACAGACTGGAAAAGAAGGGGATCTAACAGGGACGAACAAGAACCAATAAATTTAAATATAAATATAAACTCGGAGGCTCTCAAGAATCTGAACACAAGGACAGTATCTCAGAATTCTAAAGAACTAAACCACAAGTCTCAGGACAATCACAGTGTTTGCCAAAAAATGTAACTGTCCAAATGAATGCAATGACCCTAATGCTACTTTTTAAAAAAGTGTTTTCTTTTTTTCTCAGTTATGAATTCGTTAGGCATGGTATGAAAATTTATTGATCCACTGTCACAGTAACTTGGGTGTGTGGGTGAACACAGAACTGTACCAGAACAGAAATATAATGTGTATATGTTTGTTTGACTAACCTGTTTGCCATCTCTGAACCAGACTCCTTCACAGTCTTCACTGCTAAGCTTACATGTTAACTCAGCGATCTCATTGATGATCGCACTGACATCAGTCAAACCACAGATGAACTGAACCCCTGGATCTAAGAACAGTTAAAATGATTTTTGGAAAATCTTGGACATGAAGTGTGACACCAGTCAATACACTTTAATGGATTTTGGATATTGGTAGATGAAACAAATTATAAATACAAAATCTTACAACAAGAAGTATTTTCTATCTGTAGATCATTTTAGTTTAGTTTTAGTTTAGTTTAATATAATTGTGTGCTTGTCCTGGTCAGTAGCATCTTCATCCTCATCATAGCAACTTGATTCATTTTCACTTGCTAGTTCTTTTGGATCTTTATCCAGTAAATTTTTAAGTAATAATTTTGATGTTGATTTTGTTTTAATGTAACTGGTCCAATTTAAACCTTTAAACCTTGTTAAAAGAGTGTTCTTTTGGTAAAAGAAATTTGACTTTCCTGTTTTTGGCCAGATACAGATCTGTTACATAAAAAAATTAAAATGACTAAACAATTGATCTAATTTATCGGTGCAGTTTTACTCCCACGGAAACTCCCTGCTGTGGGAATACAGCATAATATCTTGGACACAGAGAAAACTCCAATATAAGCAATATTTTTAGCTTCTTACTAAATAATGCAAGCCTATTGCTGCATTCAAATATACTTAAAATATTCCTTATTACCACTTTCTTGATTTAACTGTATGCAATATGTACATTTCTAAAGTAAACTGAGGTTATATATAGGTTTGGATTATATGATCCCTTTTTTTTTACCTTTGCCTAGGAGGTTGTGTTTTTAGTAGCATTTATGTGCGCGTGTAACATTCTTTCTGTTCGTTCGAGTTCAGAGTAGGATCATGTTGCATTAAAATTTCACTTGCATCCACCAAGTTCTTCAAGATTAATGTAGTGATTTATTAGTCAAAAATTGACAAGAAGCCATATAACTAATAAAATATAGTTCTTACAATCATGGTGTATATTGTAAACATATGTAAGGGGCAAAATATAGAGATTTAAAATATAATCTTACATTAAACTCCGACTTCCACTGCAAGGTCAATAGACTGATCTAAAGGGCAAAGTGACAATATTTTCCAAAATGTTATTATTTTTTTTTTTTTACCACATTACACACTTCTTAAAGTACATTTAAAAACAACAAAGAAAACTAAATGACTACATACGAAATTGCTGATCAGAGAGTAAGCTGCCTTGGCATAGTGGAGTGCTTCTTGTTATTTAATATATCAATATACTGGTATCTAAGAGAGAGATTTTCATAGTCTTGTTTATAAAGTGTTTTTGCGTCACACAGAGCTTTTCTTAGTAAAATGGTGCCAATGTTACTGTTTCTTCATTGGATTCTTCATAGACTGGGCTCTAGCTTTTAGAGTTCCAATTGATCCAAATATTGGATTCATATACAGTACTGCTAACAATGAATATCTACAAGTCTGAGTTTTTCTTCAGAAGTGGATGGAAATGGAAATCAAAGCAGAAATAAATAAGGAGATTAAATATTGCACTGAAAGAGTGTCACAAGCTAAGATACAAGTATCTCAGCTAGATGCCTTTTCTCTGCAAATTAAAGATATGAATTCCAGAGATGAGGAATAAAACTTTGTTGGATAAACTACTTGAGTTGGAGATAAGACTAAATATTAACTACCTGAAGCTAATATAAACTGAGAAAAGGTTGAAGGATCAGAGTTATGCTCTTATGTTGGAAAATGCTTAAGGTTGAGCCAAATTGTTCCGAACAAGGATAATACTGTCCCATAGATTATGAAGTGTGACACCAGTCAATACACTTTAATGGATTCTGGATATTGGTAGATGAAATAAATTATAAATGCAAAATCTTACAACAAGAAGTATTTTCTATCTGTAGATCATTTTAGTTTAGTTTTAGTTTAGTTTAATATAATAGTTTTATTTTATTTTATTTTTTTCTTTTCCATCCACAAATAAATAGCTGAAACTTTAATGTTTCTTTCACTATCTATCAACAAGTGCAGAATGTTGTTCAGGTATGTTTATGCAGGTAAAGGTAGTCATGTCTGTGTTAGTAAGACAGAAATAAAGTGGAATAATTCAGCTAATTGAATTGAACATGTTTAAGTGTTAATCAGTTTAGTTAAACAGATAATTAATTAAAAAAACATCAAAAAACAAAAAAGAAAAACCCTTCTGGTGTAGAAGAATTTTTTTGTCTCCAACTTACCAACCACCAAATCTTCGATCGGAGGGGCGTATCTTTTACGCCTCATATGTGTTGAAGATTCAGTCTCATCCTCAGTCTCGTCACACCTAATGTCGTCTTTCAGACGTGCACTTTCACCTTTAAAATAAAAATCTTCTCTCAGCTAGAAAAGTTCTTTCAAAATCATACCATATATGGTTTTAAGCAAAACATATATCCAGGAATATATCCTTGAGTTTCCTCATGGAGGAAATTGAATCATACAAATTCCCCTTGCAATACCACACTAATTGTGCTCCCTTACCATCGAGTGCATCCTTTGGCTTTTGGTCTTGCTTTGGAGAAATTGTGTGCTTGTCCTGGTCAGTAGCGTCTTCATCCTCATCATAGCCACTTGATTCGTTTTCACTTGTTAGTTCTTTTGGATCTGTGTCAGGTATTACATGCACAACTTTATCCAGTGAATTTTAAAGTTTTGAACTCTGTTGCATTTTGTTTTCTTTGATTAATTAAGAAAAAATTAATTTATAAAGTGCTAAGGGACATCTTTCTGAATTTTTACACTATTGAAGATAAAGCTTCTATGTTAACTGTGTCATGTGAAGCTTTGACAGCAATTCTCATGGTGCAATATTACTTAAACTTACTTAAACTGTTTTACAATAATAATTCACGACTATAATTTACAAGTGCAAATAGAAATGGCCCAAAACTTTGTAAGGGTTTGAAACAAAAGCCTCAGATACATATTGGTTACATTTTGTTAAAAAAAAATACAAATGGAAGAAAATGCATTTTGTAATTCAATATTGCACAAAAACTGACAATAATATAGCAACAAACAGTTTTTCCATCTGTACATCAGTGTATTGGGGTTGCTGTGGCTCAAGAGGAAAGTTGATGCTTAGATTCTTGGCTGCTCCACTCTGCATGATGGGTAACACACTGAACCCCAAGTTGCGATCCGATGTATTCATCAGATTATGAATGTGTGTGAATGTTAGGTACAAAACATTAGATGCAGGAAAAAGTGCCTGTATGAATGGGTGGGAATAGGTAAATGGGGCATGCTGTATAAAGTGCTTTGAGTGCTTAAGTGGAGTTGAAAAGTGTTTTATAATTTATATCTACATATTTATATCTAATACACATAAGTATAATCTTGAATAAGATATAGTGCATTTTCATGCAGTCATTCAGTCCTTACCAGATGGTTGTTGTTTCCATTGGACTTTCTTTCTTTTCATTTGTTTTTTGACAGACCCAGTGGAGTTATTGTTTCTATCAGATTCCCCCAGATCTTGTTGACTAATGGTAAGCATTTGAGACTGGTCTGCATCCATAAATTTGTCAGTTGACTCTGGACAGACACAAAACAGGATTAAAGGTCAAAATATTTATTTACATATTTAGGCTTTTCTGTCTATAACAAGGGAATGGACACACGTACTGCTTTGTATGTTTCTTACCAATTACTCCGATTTCTGAGTCACGACTTTGTTTTAGGTATTTTGATTTAGATGCATGTCCAGTGAAGTTCTTAGTCTCCTCAGAATGATCTTCTTGATTTTCACCTACCAGTTAGAAATAAAAAATGATGATTTTTAAAGTCGAAAGTCTTTTAAAAATATTTTTTCTCAAAGAAGATTTATTTAATTTCCAGCCTGCACTAGTACCAGTAAGCAACTATGTCATACTTAATGCCACTGAAAAATAAAAGATGGCTCATAGTTGGGTAACCAAATATTAGCCAGGAATGACACAAGTTAATCCACTCCGTTAATCTTTTGAAACAAGTAGCAGTAAGCGTGCATGTTTTATCATCAGTACAGTTTTAGCCACACTGCCTATTCACTGCAGTGCTGGTAGTAGAAATGCTTTGGTAAGACGTGAAGGGTGAGACAGAATATGGGACTGATAGGAGTGATAGGACAGTTTAATGGAGTTAATTTTAAGGAGATAATAGATTTTGTTGAGTTTTTGCTCCAAAGGACAGGGAGGGTACTGGCAGAGTCAGAGATACATGTTTTTACCTTGTCCAGTAACTTGACTGTGTTTTCCACCTGTGCTTAAGATTAAAGTCAGTTCTTCTAATGTCAGTTCTTCTAAAGATAGTTTGTCGGTTATATGTCCTGCTCCGTATTTTGCATTTACTGCTGCCAACAGCTTTTCCATCTCCCCTTGTATTTTTAGTTGCTGCTCTTGGGCCACTTTCTCAATGTCAGTCGGTGCTCCACGAGCCACAGTAGTTTTACGGGGTCTCCTCTCACCACCAGGTGCAGGATTACTGTCAGCTTAAAAGTTAGAAGTACAACGTAATTAGTTATCTAATAATAATAGTAATAATAATAATGATGATAATAATATGAAAATAGCAATGGTTAAGGTAATGTTACACAGTGATACCTTCCACAATCAACCAGGCATTGCAGGATATATTGCCAACCACAGCGGAATAGATGCCTTTGTCCAGCATCTGGCAGTCCTTGATGAGGAGCCTATGGATGAGTTTGTGGTCTGACATAGTTAAATTATATTTTTCTCCATCCTCCAGGATGTTGCCTTTGCCCGTCCATGTGATGTTAGGTAGCGGGTGTGTCAGGACACACTCAAACAAAGCATCCTCCCTTTCTTCAGCTTTAATCTCTTGAATTTTGATCACAAAGTCGACTTTGGAAACTACAAAAAAGTAAAATATTATATTCATGTGATTTTCTTTTTGATATAATATATGTATCATCAGTATTGGTCATCTTCTATTCAATTAGAGAATGTAGAGAACATTGTATACTTAGTACTGGAACAGCAAGACTATTATTTGGACATGATTGTGTGCTTCAGTACATTCAGTGTCGGCTGTTAAAGTTATGTTACTGGATAAATATAATGGCTACTGTCTGCTTATGGGCTAGTGAGTAAATTTATACAAGCTTTAGCATATAGTATATGCACATTATTTTATTTAAAGTCGAATGTACAACAAAAACAATATGCAAATGTCCAAATGCTTATGTTCTGAAGACTGTCTTTTTTTTCCAGGTCTAGCCATAGCTGGTTTTTAAACCTACATTTAAACTCTGCAGGGAGTATGAACTTTTCAGGATCCATTTGAGGCAGCCAGGCATTTCGAAGGTTGGCCTCTTGAATATCCCCCTTACAAAGCTCTGTGTCCTTTTGCATCAGGCCATCAACAGAGAAATTCGTTGTCCTTCCAACACTCTTTAGACTGTGTTTCTCTGTTTCATTTTCATCATAGGGAATTATATCATCCTGCTAGGTACACAGAAAAAAAGAACCTTCATGTCATGATGAATAGCAATGGTATAGTGATACAACTTCTATAAAAATTGAAAAGTACACTGTGCTGGAAGCACTCTTTCATCAAGGACTACGGAACTTTATGACTGCATGTATTATGTGTTTTTAATGAAAGTCAAAATTATCAACATTTTTCAGTTGTTGTTTTGAAATCACAGCTCCAGCGTATTTCTGACTCATTTACTGCTTTGTATATTACTTACAGTACTTACACACAGTAGAAGGATCAGCAAATTGATATCTCTGACCTGGATTGTTGGTTACTATTTTAGGAAATTTATACAAGCATTTATTTTTATTTTTTTAACTTTTTTGGTCCTAAATGAAGAGCTCTCAGAAGTAAAAGGAATGCAGTTAATAATATGAACAATTAAAAAGATGATATATGCCTATGGATAAATTTATACACTCACTTTATTAGGTAGTGATGTTTGGCCCTTGGTTAATGCAAAGTTTAACAATAGAAAATCGGAAAAAGGTTACTTCTTCTGATGAGTCTCAATTTCTGCTGCAGCATTCAGATGGTAGGATCAGATTTTCAAAGCATGCGAGCGCTGATTCATGTTGTTCAGGGTGGTGATGGTGTAATGGTGTGAAGGGGGCATTTTCTTGGTGTACTTTGGGGCTCTTAGTACAAATGAGCCATTCTTTAAATGCTACAACCTACCACGTCCATACCTTTATGACTGCAGTTTACCACTCTTTTAACATCTGTTTCTAGCAGGATAACAGGCTTTGTCACAAAGCACGAATCATCTCAGCCTGGTTTCTTGAACATGACAGTGAATTCACTTTACTCAAATGGCCTCCAAAGTCACCTGATGTCAATCCAATAGACAACCTTTGAGATGTGGTGGAATGGGAGATTTGTTTCATGGGTGTGCAGCCCGAAAAAATGTGCAGCAACTCCAATGCTATATAATCTCTGAGGAATGTCTGCAGCATGCTGTTGATTCTATGTCATGAATAATTCAGAGGGTACAATGGGCTCCAACCTGATACTAGTAAGGTACCTAATAAAGTGGCTATTGAGTGTAGTCAATAGTTATTCTGCTGATGTCATATTTGCATTTGAGCTATCAACATATTGTTGCAATGCACAGTATGAGCTTGGTGAGTATTCAGAAAGAATGCTTCATCAGCAGCTGAGTCAAATAATAATTGACTGACACATCAAGAATTTACTTATTAATTCTGAGTTTTAGAGATTAAGATATCGTATCCAGTGTGAGAGTTGGGTGTTTTTATACCTTCCTCTTATTTTGTGATCTCTCCTTCTTCTTTTCGTCCAGTTTCTTGAGAATCAAATGTAAGTCTTTAACACCAAATTCTGAACAGATGCGCTCATAGTCGTTCCTGTCAGCTTTTAACATAGCATCCCAGAACATTTCATCAGATTCTCCATCTGCTGCTACTTTACTGAAGATAACAGGAAAATATTAAATGTAATGTATTCAACTGTCAAAAAAAAAGGATCAGTTAATAAATTAATCCTTACATACTCTTGCAGAAATGTCCTCTTTTAAAAAGTAGGTTAATAGGTTACAGTTCTTACCTCTTCTTCAGCAGTTTTCTGAAATCTGCTGGATTTGTTGAAGCTGAAAACAGCAAATGAAATTCAAGTTTTATTTAGCTAAATACCAGTTTAAACACACATTGAGTCCTATATCATTTTTGTAATAAAAAAAAATAACAGAACTAGGCCCTTAGACCTACAGTGTTTGTCTTGTTTTTCAGTGTCTGTCATTATAAGCTTAAATAATAAGAAATGTTAAAATCTACAAGAGCACTCCACCAATAGAAAAACTCTCCCAAATGCACACTAAAAGAAAGAAAGTACAGAATCATCTTTAAAAGTATTTAATGGGCAAGTCTTACCCTCAGTCACAGTTAATGTTGTTGTGCAGACAGCTTTTCCATATTCGTTTGCAGCAAAGCATTTGTATGTATCTGTTTCTGCAACAGACACTTTGTGAATCTGGAAATATTAATTTGTGTCAATTCACATACAAATACATTATAGATCAATACATTCATGAGAGAAAACAGTATCAGTACTAAATACTTCAAGATCTTCATGTGGAATAATTTATTCACTCACCTCTAATATATGCTCTTCAGTTGATTCATCATATTTAGTCTGAAATTTTTCCTTATCTGAAAGAGTTCCCTTAGCTCTTCTCCATGACACATCTGGTTTTGGATCCCCTGTCACCACAGCCTTGAAAACAGCTAATTTTCCTAAAAGACATGTTTTTTATAAGCTTTACATCTATAATTTGAGTTCTGTTTAATAATGTGAAAGATATTGCTGAAACCAAAAGCAACAATATCTTTCACTGATGCATCAGTTTTAATGGTCAGGTATAATTTAAAGCACCCACCTTTCTCAATAGTTACTGCCACTGGTTTACACTGGAAATCAGGGGTGCTTTTTCCCTCTGGCATGTTTACTAAATACTGCGTGATTATCACTCCAGAGGTCTTAGATCTCTTCCGAATAGCAGCTAAACAAAATGGGGGGAAAAATAAGAAACAGAGTTAATCATAAGAATTAATCACGAGTTTGCTGGTTTTGATTGAACTAAACAGATTTCTTTTTTGCTACCAGCAGATGTCAGAAATGTCAAACATTTTCCCAGTGACAATTAGTGTGTTGACAGCAACACTAACTTTGCAAATGGAAAGTACAGTGCACAAATCTTACTGCTTTTGATTCCAGGTTTAGTTGTCAGTTTTTCTAAGTTATACAAGCTCTAGTAGCACGTAGGGTAATCAATTTATGTTCCTTAATTTTGGAGAGGTGAATAGTACAAAATCTTGTCTGTCGGTTATGGTTCACGGTAACATCTATCGCTTGAAAAAGAGCATGATTATTGTATAGGATAATGTTTTTCTTGGATATCTTAAATGTGTATTGCTTTAGAATGGTACTTTACATGGTAATTAGGACAAAAAAATACTCTTAGAAAACAGCAGTTTCACAAAACTGAAGGCAATGTCCACACCTATTTTTTTTATTTTACATGACTAACATCCAAAATCTAAATATCTTACATGTAGAATTCCCCTCACTGTCCACTTTATTAGGTAAACCTTTTAAACTCCAGCGTGGACCCTCTTTTGCTTTCAAAAGTGACTTAATTCTTTGTGACATAGATTCAACAAGCTGCTGTAAACATTCCTCTTGGATCTATAATGATATGATAACATCACACAATTGCTGCAAATTCGTTGATTGAACATCCATGATGTGAATCTCCCATTCGACCATATCCCAGAGTTCCTCTTTTGGACTGGGATCTGGTGACTGTGGAGGCCATTTGAATACGATGAACTCATTGTCTTTTTTTTAAGAAATCGGTTTGAGATGACTTGAGCTTTGTGACATGGTGCATTATCCTGCTAGAAGCTGGAGGCTGTTGGATCGACATGGTCAGCAAGAATTCTCAGATTGGCTGTGGCCTTTAAACAATGCTCAGTTGATACTAAAGGGCCCACAGTGTGCCAAGAAAATGTCCTCCACAGCACATACAGTACCATCCGAGTCTCATCAGAGAAGCAAGTCTTCAGCTGTCCTATGTTGATGAGCCAGTCTGATTTGTAGCCTCAGTTTGTTGTTCTTAGCTGGCAGGAGTTTCACCCAATGTAGTCCTCTTGCTGCTGTAGCCCATCTGCTTTAAGGTGCAATGGTTTTTGCCTTCAGAGATATTCTTCTACATACCTTAGCTGTAACAATGGCTTGAAGCAGTCTAGCCATTCTCATTTGACCTCTGGCATCAACAAAGCATTTTCACCAAAAGTACTGCTGCTCACTGGATATATTCTTTTTCAGACCATTCTCTGTAAACCCTATACAACCCTGGTTGTGTGGTGAAAATCCCAGTAGCTCATCAATTTCTGAAATACTCAGGCCAGTCTTTTCTTCCTCATTCCAATGCTTGGTTTATGAAGTGACCAGGTCTACATGCCTAGTTGCATTGAGTTGCTGCCATGTGATTGACTGATTAGATATTTGCATGAACAAGCAGTTGGAAAAGTGTACCTAACAAAGTGGCTGATAAGTGTATATAACATTCAGAAAAGCTTGATATATGGAATGTTCGGCAATTTCAATATAAAATAGTGACTCAGACAATTTATCGTCAAAAAAATGTGCAGTGTGAATCTCTTCACAATCAAATGTCAGCCTCAGCTCACATTCTGTACTAGACTATGGACTAATTCACTCAGTCGTTTAAAAATCAGGCCATGAATTAATTCTGTGATCCTCTGCCTCCCTGCTTGGCAGCCGAACATTTCTTTATCAGGTTTTGAATGTTCAAAGACAAAGGATCACACAGGAGTCAGTAAAGAACAACATTAATCCAGGGATTAATGATTATTATGACAAGGACAGAAATAGGAGAGCTGCCACCCAATCAAACATGTCACTGCTTTGACAAGGTAGCGTTTCAGGATATCAATACAAAGGTAAAACAGGTCACAAACAGACACAGCATTCAGTAATGCCTAATGTATTATTCATTGTTTTTTTCCATTAGTCAGCATAATGGCTCTTTCTCAGTATTATGTTAATATGGCACTCCAGGGCATTGCAACCTCAAAAAAACAGTAAGTTTGTCCGACAGAAAATAAAACAGTGCTCATTTCACCTGTCTTGTTTCCAGACACCTCATTAAAACGCTGAATATATTGATGAACAAGGGAGAAACCTGGGTGAAAAGAAATTACATTAGATCAGTCTCAAATACATGAGGGAATGCTGGTTTATGCTTGTAGGACAGTAGGTGGTATACATATGAAATTGAGTAAAAAGGAGCTGAAGACATAGCAAGGCATAATGTGGAAAAGGAAAACTCTTAAAGGCCTGAATAAAACTCTAAGAGAGTTACAGTAAAAGGCAGCAGACAGGCGACTTTAATCCAGGGATGTTTTCTTCTCATCCTCAGTTTGAAGCCTTAGAGAACAGACTTTTAGTTAACTGGCTAAATGTCTGTTAGTTAAGAAAACTCACAAATTCTTAGTTCATTTTATAACTTAACGGAGAAACTGCTCTGTGTATCTTGTGGGTAGTTTCAGTGTTTTCATGTGTGACACCACCTGGTAACAGTGCAAGAAAGTTGTGAACACAACATTGACATATTATTTAAGTTTTGTTTCTTGCCACCTGAAAATCCAATATTGGCTTTCCTTCAGTTCTCTTTCTGTTCTGTACCAACTCCTGAGGGAAATATCTGGCTCTTTAGCTGCTAAATGTTCCACTATGTTCACCACCTATTCACTGATTGTGTCTGTCTGTTATTTGGTGCTAAGCAGGGCTTGTCCAGGGGTTTTCCTCTAGTTTTTCTATTATTGTCTTGAAGTCTAAGCATTACTCATTTTGCTTACGAATTTCAAAGTGTTTTTAAAGCCATAAATCTATCAGTAGGTACACCATATGGTGGTTTTCTACCTTCTTAATTGTTTATTTGACTGTAGCAATATGTTATGTTTTGGCAGGATTAGTGACAGCTCATTTCCCACCACTTTTGGTGATTAATTAACTTGTGCACAGTTTGCTATATATGAGACAGTAATTAAGTTTCCCTGTCCAAAGATTAATGTAGGCTTTTATAACAGATAGTCGGTGCCAAATAGTTTTACCCCAAAGGCCTACTTTATTGTCAAAGCGTTCACTCAGGATATAAAAATACATTTTTTTTCTATATAATGCTTTAAGCATTTGGAGAATTTTTAATAATACAACACAGCCTTGAATATTCCTGGCTGAAGTGAGGGCCTAAATCTGGCAAGGATTAAGCTTGTAAATAATTCAACAAATATTTAATTCTTTAGATACAATAAAGCCATCTCTTACACTTGGAACATTTTATCTATTGCAAAAATAATACCAAGAGAATATGACGGCATATTGTGCCTAATAGTGATTGATATTTTTCTTCTTAAGAAGCATACATGTAATGCAAAACAAAAGAGTAGTAAGAATTGTAGTCCTTTACATTGTCTGTTTGCAGTGGTCCCCGTGCTCTTCCCTCTTTTCCACATTTTGGCAAGTGTTAACTGTCAAAAGCGACCTAGAAATAGAAAGTGAATATGATTAATGCAACAGTAGTACTAGGAGTACTAGAGTGTTATTTTGCATAATCTTTGATTTGATAAGAAAGGATAATCCAGTGCATTTCTTTAAACCCGTGAGCCTAAACACATTATATTAAGGGGTACTACAGGGAAAATACCCAGTTAATATTTTCTAGGCATTGCTTTACAAGTGATGACAGCTTATGTTATGAGGAAGATAATGCTTTTGCATATATTATAAAAGCATACAAAAAAATCAAACAAACAATAAAAGAATACAAACAAATATTGAAAACCATCTCTCTGATCAACTGTTCTTCAGTAGAAACCGAATACTCCCCTGGAGGGCATCCTGTAAATACCCAACTTGTTTAGCTTCTGTCACTTTATAAACTGAAATCCACTTGGATATAATAAAGATGTGAAGGTTAACCTGTCGTTAGGATGTAGCTTTGGTCACACACAGTCTCAAACAGACAAACAGAGAAAAGGGTGTTTTACCTGTGTACAGCTCTGTGTTCACTCCCACTGAGACTGGTTTATAGATGCGTTATAAACTTGCTGCCTCCTCGTTTTCACTGGATATTAAATCCTTTGGGGGTAAAATGTTTGATTTTCCTGTCTGCAAGCTTGTGCCTAGGTAGTGACTGTCAAAGAGAGGCTTCTTCTGATTAGGCAGATGGATGCTCAGAGCGGGTGGGTTATTATTAAGAGGGAGTGGGTGGAGGGAGCGGGGGAGCTGGTGGGTCAATGGATGAGGTAAGGCAGGATGAATAGCCGGATGGAGAGGGAAGGGCTACCAATGACAAGTTAGTGGTGAAGTTTATCTCTCACTGCGGTAATTACTGATGGCAGGACACTCATCTTTCACAGAACAGCTGCTGACAAGAAAATGATTGGTGAGTTCATTTTGTTTGTGTAGTCTCTGATTCTTACAGATACACACACCTGTAACTGTCACAGTGAAAGCATCAGTGGGGATTTTAATTCCAGTTAAGTAATTGTTCAAAATGTATTTTACTGCTTTTTTTTTGTTTTTTTTAAGAAACAGATTTCAGTTTGAGCTGTCATCACAGGCTGATTTTAACCATACTGTATTAGGAGCTGCATAAAATTAGCCATTTAAGTGGTGGCTGGCAGGTAACTGGAAAAAGCAAGCATTAATTTGGCCTATGAAGCTATGAAAAGAAAGTGACTCAAAGCCATATCTTTTTATTAAACTTTGAGGTGGTATAATGTTGAAACATATTCAGTTTAATCCCGCTTTGAACTGTACCCTTGTCTGGATATTAGTGAAGATCACATGTTGCGAACAAGGTACTTATCCCTTGTCTGCAATGTACTTCTTATGTTACGATATATTACATAATCAAGGTTATGACATTTATAATCCCAGCATAGCTCTGAAGCAGTTGTGACTTTGGAAAGGGAAGATCAAATGAAGAACAAGACTCTGATTGTCTCAAGGTCGAGCACCAGAATGTCCATTACATTTGTCACACAACAATTTAAATTGTGTATAAGGGTCTTTAATGTGCAATGTGAAATGTGGACAACTTATAGTGCATGGAATTAATGACTCAAACAGATGTAACACCAGCCGGTTGTAAACATCAATAGCTGAATTTAACACACTTTGTTTGTGCAGTTGCTAATCTAATTTTCATATGGGAGGGAACTATATTTAATTCCTGTTATGTTCTTTCCATGGAAACCCATGTGTTTATTTGACTCGCTAACAGCATGGCAGTGCTGTTCAGTTCATCAGCCTGTTGGTCGTCTGGTACACTATAATTGTCTCAAGAAACAATTACTGAAGAAACATTGACCATCATATTGTATTTTAAGATTTATACTTACAGAGAGTCATAGGAAGTCTTGACCACTCCCTATTTCTTTATAGTTTGCTTGGAAAATAGGTGCAGGGATTTCTTGACATGTGCAAACATAAATGGAAATACAGTAATGAGGTAAAACCAGAGGTTTTACAATTCTATCCAGATTGAAAGTTGAATGACCACCTTTATTCTTTAGCACAGTATGAACTCTCTCAGGCAAGCTGTATTGTCTCTTAGTTGAAGTAATCTTCAGGAATAGTTCTCCGACTGTACTTCTGCATTTGCAATTCCATCAGTTTTGACATCTCCAACAACACTGGATGAAATGCAGCCCAAACCATAACAGAGTGTCCGCCATGTTTTACAGATTGATTTGTGTGACTGATTTTCAGTTCTTGTGCAGTTTAACCTACCTCACCTTTTCTTAAAGAAAATCTTAATACACCATCTTCCACTGAGACCATTTCTAACGAGGCTTCAGCAAAAGGTAGCTGGATCAACAGAAGGTCCAGATTCTGTTCAATGTTTTAAGGACATGGCATTCAGGTACTGTTCATCTGCTGCTTAAGTCTGACTCCTTGACTTCTTTTATTTGCACAACCCTGTAAACATGAGTAGAAAATAAATATCCCGTGCTGCTATCAAAAACCAAGCATAATTATGTTATCGTGCAGATATTTGCATGCTGGTTGTATGTACAGTAGTCAAGGCTGACAAAGCCCAGATTAGACTGATGAAGTGACATCTGAGAATGCATAACTGAGCTTGAGAAGTTAAGCCAGTTATATCCTAATCTTAACGTTGCATAGAGGATAAACTCTTTTTGATGTAGCAAACAACACTGGCTTACCTATGGTACTAACTCAGTCCATGCAAAAATGTTGCTTCTGTATCTACAAGTGAACTCAATATTTTATTATGTAAACACCACATTTAAATTCTAGAAAAACTGATGCCACTTAAAACATGCACCCTGAGTTCTTATAATATTCTGGTTTTGAACAAATCCTAACTCATAGTTCCACCACCTCTAATTTAATCAAATGATACTTTAAAAACTGTCTAGGGACTAAATAATAGGGGGAAAAACAAAATTGCAACTCATTTGGTGTCTCTTTCTTGGTACCCATAGACTCTACTAGCACAAGGTCCAATTGGTGCCAGCATTATGTCATGCTTGTCCTTCTACATGTAGTACCTCAAATATATCTAAATAGGCTCTGGAGCTCACATAAACCAGCTGGATTAGGAATTAAACCCCCTCAGCCTACCCTCCTTATATTGATGAAATGTCATGCTGCATAGCTTTCATTCCAGTCATGGGAAACCACAGAAAGCTGAGGTGCTAACTAGACAGCCTGGCCTGACTCTCTGTAGTGTAGATAGCTCTTCTGAGGGAAACCTCAACAGGACATCAGCAGAGGTCTTGTCAGTCACTTTTCAATAAGGAGTGAATTTATTTCTAATGATAATAACTGGTGTTAAATAACCTATCCCAGTGATGTTTACATTTTTTTCCTTTCACATCTTCATGATAAAGGATCTTTCACAAAGAAACATAGTTACTTTCCACAATAATGACATGATGTAACGATATGCAAAATTATAAACAAATGTATGCTCTACAGTTTCAGGAATATTAAATGGCTTGGATGTCTAATTATCTATTTGTAAATAAAAAAAAAAGGAAAGAAGAGAAACTAGAAACTACTAGATGAGCTGAGAAGTTGTATTAGGAATGTCTTACACTAGCAACATTTGTAGCTTGAATGGATTTTGTTTTCTTGTTCCTTGTTTTATTTTATATGATAACTGTTTGATAGTGGGGCAACACCCCGACAGTTTCCCAAGAGTAAGCATATTGTCTCATTTGCATTTTGGTATAATCCATTGGCCTTAATGATAACTTACTCCTGGGTTTGTTTGTTTTTTCCACAATGATACATGAATATTATTCATGCATCCATACTATTTAAACTGCATTGTTTCTCCTCCTCTTTGTAAGGGTTGGCTTTCCCATCCTGGCTTTGAGTGTGGTCATTTGGAAAGAGCTGTTTTGTGAAGTGGTTGGGGGCCATATTTATCAGATAACACAAAAAAATAATGTGGTTCAGTGAAATGAGTGCTTCCTTGCAAGAAATTTGTGGCATTTTTAATATCAATTTCTGTTCCCAATAGACCATTATGGCAGTAAGTAAACATTTCGGGTAAGCGTTTAGGTAGGTTTAATTTTACAGACTTTTAATAACATTTACCCCATCGATAAAGGTTTCAGTGGATGTTGGTACTTCTGTTTTTATTGCCATTCTTGTTTCGTGATTGTCCAAGGTTCTGATTGTGAGCTTTCAGGTTTGAATGCGTTTCTGAATGTTTCATGTTATTGTTAAGGCAAGCTCAAGGCTTGAATGGGTGTAATAAGTAAAAAGTCATTCGGTGAATAGAGCCAGTCAGTCTTTTAGTTACTATTTTATTGACGACATCTCAACACTGTTTCTCTAAACAGATCTTATCTCAACTCTCTGACACTTGATCATAATCAATATATGTTATCCTGTTTTTACCGTTGGAAATGACCTAGAATTGACTCAAAGACCTGGTATTGCTTTGATACATTAGGTGCCGTTCACATGGCCGCTGTAGTGCTGATTGACCACTGATGGCTGTAAATCACTGAACTCATTACATGCTGAAGATCCTGTGATTGTGATACATACTGTGTTATATGGTCCTTACTTGAAAATAGGCGCTGCCATATGGACGGCGTATATTGCCATTTTTAGGTGTTGAGAAAGGTGGATGAAATGTGTTCATGTATTCTGGGTTCTCAAATCTGGGCTTCAGACCAGAGCAGCCCAGGCATCTTTGCTCAGTAATGAAAAGCTATTTTTTGATGAGATTAACAACCGAAGGCGATCCAGTGTCCACAGCAGAAAAGAAAACAAACAAATTCAAATTTGATTTGATTTAAGCTTATAAAATTGGGACACAGATATAGAGTGTGGCTTGCTAAATTTAGAGAAATAATATATCAGTTATGAGCCATGTGAATTTCATCTAGGGCTGAATTTGTAACACGCTAGAATAGTATTGCTTCACCATGTAACTGGTGATTTAGTTATAAATTAATGTGTCAGTTAAATCAGTGGTTTGACATATGTAAAACAGATCTAATCTTTTGTGAGATCAGCACCCAGATCCTGTCTGCATGTTGAATATCAAACTAACACAAGTATCTGGTTTTCTTCTCTTCAGAGCATTTTACAAAAAATTGCAAAATATGGAGCTTGAAATACATGCACAAAAACTGAATGGATTGTTGATTGCATCAAGTATATCACCTGTTGATGAAAACAGGAGATATCTAGAGTCAGATATTACCATAAAGAAACTGGAAGTGCAATCTGAAAATGGAGGGAAAAGATAATTTTCCAGTTGATAAAAGGTTATATATAAAAAACTTGAAGTTTTATGTTTTCAAAAAGATGCTGTCTTTCTACTGGAATATGCAACATTTGTTTCTTAGACAAATTCTGTAACACATTACACACATACATTATGTATGCATTTGTCTTTGGTCTATATACTGTTAATCATCTGATCTACCGTTTCTCTTATGCCAGTGATGACTCACATCCACTGCCATACAATATATAACTGTAAAAGTCTTAAAGACCTGGTTTCAATTTAAATGACCGAAAGGCTTATGCTTTGCAGCAGGGGAAAACACAAAATATTTTACTGTCTTATCATCTTGATTTTAATCCTGTTGTTAAATATACTTGAAGGAGTAGTAAGACAATTTATTTAACTTGCACAAT